CGGTGTGATATGAGGACATATCTGTGATTCGGTCCCATAATACCGACCTTTTGGTGCCAAATCTCTTTGAAATGCCGAATGGAAAAAACTTCGAGCCAATACGGAATCTGATGCCCTCTCCTCCTGCCATGTATCTGGATGCGGTCCTTATAAGGTTCGATGAGAGGTGTGGTCAGCAGCAAAGACCTCAGAGGCGAATTTAAGTTCAGCCTTTAAGAGGAAATCGGAAGGCAGCCGAGGCTTACCTGCCGATTCCCATACCTCAGTGTTCGGGATTCGCGAGTAGTATGATGCCTTAATGCCAACAATGCGTCGAAGGAAGCGATCGTAGCGAGCATCGATGCGCTTCAGGTGCGGTGTGGTCAGCGTCAGATTAAGACAGCCTGAAAAATCTTTAATTTCTCCTGTTTAGAGAGGGAACTGTTCCAGACCAACCTTAGCTTCTTGAAGGCCTCCTCCGTAAGCGCCCACCGTGTGAGCAAAGGCAGTCTCGAAACTCTTAACCCAGGAGATGTGTGATCCAAGATATTTGACCACCTCCGTTGTGGGCACGGTGTCCCCATTAAGCAACCTCCACTTGGGCTCCGGGAACGCCGGGTTGATCAAGAGTTCGACATACCGTACAGAGATGCTTCCCTTTCCAGCGTGTGGAGCATACTCTGTCCTTGCGGTGTGGTCAAAAAGAAGAGCAACGTATCATCAGCATATTCGAGGTCATAAAACGGATGATTGACAGACCACACGTTGGTGGGCACCCCTTGTGAAAGGAGAGCATCATCAACGTCATGCAGGATGACCGACAAGACCACAATGAAGAGGTAGGGACTCAGCGGACAACCCTGCCTAATACCGCGCTGAAAGCGCCTTTGGCGGTGTGATCAGCAAATCCTTGTGCACCGAACTTTGCAGAAGAATAGAAGGATCTAATAAGGGCAAGCTCCGCGTCGTGCAGGCCGAACCTATCCAGGGCGACTATCATGGCCTGGTGATCGACTGAATCAAACGCCTGCTTCCAGTCGAGAAAAAGCAGGTGAACATCCCTGTTGGTCATAGTCATAGTGGCCCACTCCATGGTGCGGCGCAAAATGAACAAAGGATGTTTGGTACTGCGGTGTGGTCGAAAACCAAATTGGGTCTGTCGCAGCTTGTCCTCGCGGTTTTTAATCATAGCCGCAAAAATTTATAGCTGGCGTTGAGCAAGGAAATAGGCCTGTAGTTCGAGGGATCCGTATCAGATCCCTTGCCTTTAAAGATAGAGACCACCGTGGCTTCGGTCCACGTGTTGGGACCAGAGCCCGAACTCCTGGCCTGATTATAAAGATCAAGGAGTCCAATCTCTGAGGTGTGGTCAAGAAGCTTGAAAAGATCAGACTCAATACCATCTGGGCCCGGAGCTTTATTCTTCGCGATCTGTTGGAGCGCGTGCTGTAGATCCTCCAAGGTAAACGGACCATGGTCCTCTGATTTCGAGAAGAGGTGTGGTCTGAGTTGCAGCTGCCCTGCAAACTCGTCTGATCTGGGATGCCGAGCCCATTGTTTTTGCTCCAAATGGTCGCGAAAAGCTTCATGGGTCCGTGTCCAAGGAACAGGTTTACCTGAGACGATAAGGTGTGGTTTCTTGCCTCGGAAACCCTGCTTTTGCCGACGGACGGTTTGCCAGACGGTGGAATGGTTAGAGGAAGGGTCAGCCAGAAGCTGCGCGTGGATCCAATTAACCCTGTCCTTCTTAGCTGAGCGCTTGGCCTGGCTAAACAATAGCCTGGCGTTGTAGTCGGAGTTAGACTCAGCGGCCTTAGCCAATGAGAGCTTCTCCAGGGTATCCTCAGAAATCCACGGCTTTCTGGCTGTGAGCTTCTTAGGGGCGAAAACTTCCCAAGCAGCCTCCTTGAGCGCCTGGTCGAAAGAAACATGAGCTGAGCTTGGAGCCGGGGAGGTGTGGTCAGAATCGGGGTATCTAGCCGATGTGCCCTGTCTGACCGCCTGGACCTTGCCTCTGTTAGCAAGTGAATCAGCTCTCTCATTGCCCTCATGGCCAGCGTGTGCTTTGACGCGACAAGAAGACGGCTGCTTCACTGCAAGAGCCCGAGGTGGCGCCATCCGATTCCAGACACAATGCCGTTCACTGTCGGAGGAACACAAGACAGCATGGAGAAGGCTCTGGAAGAGATCATGATGGAGGAAGACGACGACTTGGGTCCGTCGCTAGCCAAACGACGGAGGATGCATCCTGGAGCCGCAAGTCATACCGTCGAATGCAAGAACATGTTCCAGAGGTCGTTGGAGATCATCAAGGGCACGTTGGATACATACGGACGAGACATATGTCTTCATCCAAACACCATCATGCAGAACACTAGGAGCATGCTGGACGGTTTGCGCACAAGGCATCCCTGGATGTCTGAGCAGTTCAGACGCATTATCCTGGTGGCAGCTCACCTGTCCGAAGGCAAGATTGCAGAAAAGCCAATGCTTCCCGACGCTGCGGCAGTGACTCGGATGGTGGAGGGAGATCGTCACATGCGTGTGCATAAGGGTTTCCTGTACATCTATGACGACGATGGGTGTTTCATGCCCTCCGGAGGTATCCCGCCGGAGGCCGTTCTACACAGAGTTCATGATTTCTTTTCGTGTCTGGAAGGCATGTTCAGACGAATGAAGCCAGAGATTCGTCGTTCGGCCGAGTCGGTTGCCAATGCGGCTGCTGCCGATATGCAGACTTTCGAAAATGAGGCCGAATTCTTCGCTTCGTGTCGAACTGCAAGCAGTCGGAGATCAGAGACTCCTGCTTACTCTCAGAGGTTGGATGCGGACGCAGATAATGAGACGGAAGGTCTGGAAGAGAACCAGCGACCTGATTGTGGCGGAGATGGACAGTGGACTCCGGACATGGCGGAGAAAACATGGCAGGTCTCGCGCACTTTGAAGCAAGAGCTAATGCAAGCAAGAATGATTGCCTTGTTGGTGGAATGGTGTGAGTCCGAAGATATAAGGTCGTCCACAATCTGCTACGACGACATCTGCTTTGCCTATGACCGGCCAAACTCGCTGAATCCAGTGGAAGTCATCAGAAAGGGATCTCACAACAATTGTTACGTCAGGGTTCCACATCCTCTACTTGATCCGGTGATGGAGGCCAACATGCAGAGGCTGCAAATGTTTTACGAAAGAACATTTTGGTGCAATCTGGACGTGTACAGATGCTTTCAGGCGGCCATTGCAATCGCCAAGAGGGGATTCAACGTGGATCGTTGTTTCATTGGCATCTCCCCCAGGAGGTGTCGGACAGAGTCTGTATTCGCTTCATCTGTCCGAAATGTACAAACATAATCACAGCTTTTTTGACCCCAACATTTGGCATCTCGATGAGGAACTTAGAAAACAGGTGGAATCCTTCGCGAAGTGCTTCATTCTCACTGGCCAAGAGGCGCCCGAAACCAGCAAGAAGATGCATCTGGATCTTTACAAAAAAACACGTTCGGGAGATGGTATCATGGGCAGGAAGCCTTATGGCTACAGCACCCGGATGTTCCAGATGATCGGCTGGACTAGGCTGGAAGTCAATCGCATGATGGCCTTTCTGGGAGTTACCAACCAGACTTTCCATTCTCTCTTCCGAAGATCATTCGTTTGGAAAGCCAAGGCCCGCTTCGTCCACCGGAAGTTCTTGGCGAAATATCCTGAGCGTGAGAAAGACGGAATTTTCGAAGCTGATCCCAGTCTCAACAAGTTTCTAACAACCTCACAGGCATCTGTCGCCGGTTTGAAGTTGCAGTGGGCCTTCGAAATGGACTTCAATAAAGATGATTGTTATCAGTTAATCGAAAACTACTGCAACGGGGGCGACGGCTATCTCACGGAGGATGTGATGAGAGAGGCATGTGGTCTGCCGGTAAGGGTCCGACAAGTGCAGGAGGAGGAGGGATTGAGAAACCTCCTAGCAGGCGAGCAGGATAGTGCAGACGAAAGAGAAGAGCGAGACACCCAATGGACAAACTTGCAAAGGTCGATCGTTGCCCACATGCTTGACAATGACTTGGACATACTCACCTTCTACGCATTCAAGAAGGTTGCCGTCAAACCCAATGAACATCCAAACTTGGCCAAGAGCATGGCGTTGTGCACACTGGCATCATCCGCCAAAAGACTAGCAAGGAGAAGCCTGGTGCATTCATTCCTATGATGACATTTGGAACACAGTTACAGGCTGTATGCCCACAACCTTCATTGGATGCAATCAGACTGGAATTCGAAGAGGAACACGACATAGGTCTCAGCAAGAGATATGCCTTTGGTTGCAGCGGTCGCCCTGTCAATGCGGACATCATGAAGAATTACTACAAGGCGAAGATCCCCGTTGGCAAGAAAGGACGAAGATCTGCAGAGCAAGAGGAAATCTTGAACCGCTACCAGCAGCTCGTCAGAAAGATTGACGATCACGAAAGGTCAATCAACTACATCCTGGAGACCAAGAAACGGAGACTCGTTGGGAAGAGGTCCCAAGACGAGGACAACATCGATGTGACGCAGTCTGATGGACCAGTGGCGAGTATGGGAAGCTCCATGAAACGATCGCTCTCTGTGACCTACGGGTATTCAGAAAAGCAAGACTACTCCGTCAGGACCAGGCGATACACGGTCAATGGCGGAGTTCAGGCTATGTCTCGCCTGCTGCAATATCATGTCGTTGGCAGTCACACAGTCGACCTCGACGTACAGAACTGTTGCTTGACACTAGTTCAACAAATCATCGCCAAGACTTGTCCTGAACCACCTCTTCCTGAAGATCTAGCGCAAATTTTAGACAATGTCGTCAAGAACCGGACGGAGTTCGTGAAGAAGCTCGGCCTCGGCATTTCGGAAGGCAAGGATGTGATCAACACAGTCTTCAACGGAGGCAGTCCTCCCTCCAGCCTCAAGAACAACGAGCTCATCATCGGCCTACAGAAGATCTCCCTGTACGTGAGGTGGATGGCCTGCAATCTACTTCACGAGGACTATATGTCCATGACCGAGAAGAAGGAGAAGACATTTCCCACAGCTACCACGTTATCCCTCATGTGGACAGCAGTGGAGGACATGATCTTACGATGTTGGACAGAGCACGTATTGAGTGGCCCCTCGAAACCCAAACATCTTTCCTTGCATTTCGATGGACTTCGCGTCTCGACCGACTACATTGGATCGGAGCCTGAGGATTATATCAAGACATGCGAGAAGGTCATCCATGAGAAAACTGGAATGTCAAGATCGTTGCTAAGAAACACATGTCATTCTCAAAGCTCGTGAAGCAAGGAGGCGCCCACGAGAATTCGTTAAGCAACGTACCTCCACAGCTACTGGAAAAAGGCAACTGCATTCCCTGTGCTTTGTGGCACGTGGTTCCTCTGGCCAGACAGGCCATCCTTGCTGCTATCTCCGATTCATCTTCGGAGAAAAACATCACAGCCACAAAAAATATGTATCGCGAGTACCGCTCGGTTGCGTCCATGTCTGCAGTCGACTTGGTTTGCTGTACTGGTCTCCCCGAAGCCCACGTTCGTACATCGTCCACTTCGAAGGGAATGGCTTTCCTCACTGCCTAGCAGTGAAACTGGACAGACAGGGCACACATGTCACCGTGTTGGAGGGTGCAACGGTGTATAAGATGTCCATGGCAGCGCTGCGGGATTTCTATCATGCCGCAGTGGACGGGTCGACTATTGTATCCTACTGGAAGAGGGATCCCAATGACAATTTGTGCGATAAGTTCACCCTGCTACTCGACATGGTCGCAGGCGCAGACTGTGACGATTCTGACGAAGAAGCAGATGATGACATGGGCGCGGTGGGGTCACCATCTCCAGGCTATACAAGGCTTGCGCAGGACGATGACGAGAATCCTATCATATCTGACAAGATCCTCAGCTCCGTGTCCCATGAGACAAATAAAGTTTTGGAAGATCTGGGAAACAAGGCACCTATGACCAATGGAAGGAGGAGGTGTCCTTTGTGTCCATTTAGATCATTTACTCAGCTGCGTCTCCTTCGAACCCATGTTCAGAAACATCACACGTCAAAGAATCAGTACGTCTGTTCGGGCACAAAGCAAATCAAAGTTATTCTTGCACTATATGATCATGCAGCCTCGTCTCAAACGAGAGCCGCAGACTTGTTGCAGACAAGTGCAGCCGTGATGCGGGCGACTATTGAACCTGCCCTATGTGAACGCATCAACTGCATCGACAAGCAGATCAGACAGGTTCTTGATGCGGATGGTCCTCACTACGTGAACGTGTCTGCCATTGGCGCCACGCTGCAGGTCAGACGAGCACTGAATCTGTACTACACGCACTCCTTTGCTGACCCCTGCTAATCCGAGAGATGGTGATGAGTCATGCCCAGGTGCCTATCACAACATCATTTGTTTAAATATATACCGTGTGTGATCTAGCTGTGAGACTGAAACACTAAACAATCACGTATGATGTTGTCTTACTGAGGTGACAACCATTATTACACGATGCCACATGGCGGCTCTTCAAGCTGGGTGTCGAACGTCGACTCTTGTACCCAGCCGTGTTCCGCATTGGATGCCTATGCTGGAGGACATCACCCAAAGCTTTCAAACTCAAGATGGGGAGGATGCAGGGTTTTTTTCCGTGGTGATGAGTGGCACTACATTAGTGTGGATGCTACTCTGAAACTCTGTATGAAGGTTATGGGTCAGGCTCCTTGTCGTGCCTCTAAGAAAGTCAGGGACGAAGCTCCCTTCGGAGACGCTGTGGCATGGAGGCGCCTACTGACCGTCAGAGGGAGAACGGGTGCTGTACTCATGATGCACCCCCTACAGAATGAGTCCTCTGAGCAAATCGTCGAGGCCATGCAACAGAACTTTACCGAGGAACAACTGCAATCTGTGCGTTATGTCGGCACAGATAGTCCTTCGGAGAAGTTATTTACACAGCTGCAGTACATTTGCCCGAATCTGGAGGCGTTGATGCTGGATCCTATTCATCTTGCTATAGTATACGAATATGCATTCTGGAACAAGAAAAGTTCAGGATCAAAACAGCTGCGTCGGATTCTTCGTAAATGCATCGCAGTGGATTCGAGTCTGGACAAGAACTACTGGCAATTGCCGTACGATGGAAAGATGGCGAGGCCTCTGGGTGATGCGGAAAATAAGTTCAGGGATATGATTCTCGACCTCTCCATGTCTGAACGCGAGGCTGTGCAGTTGTTGGATCAATTGGACCAGGACACTCCATTTCTCAATCGTGTGGAGTTCATCAAATCGGTGGCCGCATTGTGTCGCATCTACAAATCCGAGGTGACGCGTGCGGCTGCAGGGCCCAACAAAGCCATCAACAAGATAGTTTGAGCTGCTTGTGCGCCAGATCGGTTGGAGTGGCTGATGAACAACCTGCGAGTCCGACATGCCATGACTTCATCTTAATTACCTGTGGTTCTTACCCAGCGGCGCCTCTAGTAATGAGGCATTACATGCAGAGATTAATTCATGGACCAGAAGCGTCAATGTCATGCATAGATCGACTCTTGCATTGAAGTTGCAGTATTTCATGTATATCAAAACACTGCAACATTTCCTGTCGCATGAATTTCCTATGTCTCGTGTTGTTAGCGCGAGCATGATCATGGGCAGAGCCCTGTATGAGTCCATATGCAGCAATGAGGACTGGAATGCTTGGTGTGCGGAACAGCATACCGCTAGTGGACAGTCCAAAGCGACGCTGCCTCTGACTAGGTCCAGACGCAGTGAAGCCGAAGTAGTCAAACAGTGGGTCATGAAGAAACCTTCCACCCGTCCGATGAAGACGGAGTCTCGAAAGCGACGAGTGAACCCTTTGTCAGTGAAGCGGATCCACACTCTCCGGACCGCGGGCGTAAAACGCTCTGCATCCTAGAAGCCGTGTGGAGCGTTTTTTCGTCACAGAAATATGGCGCACAGCTTCCTTGAGCTCTTTGTCCCAGCTGAGCGAACGTGTTTTATTGCAATGTCTATGTCCTGACAGGACACCTACACCACCGACGAGCCCAATACGGTGTGTGGTCCAGGGAATACTATGGAGGCACGCTATGCTGAAGCCGGAAGCATAAGCATTTTCTAGACTCAAAATCGTGCCCTCCAAACCAACAGCCTTGCACGTGTCACGACACGTACTGCCCTTGCAAGTTTTGTCAAGGCTCTTTGAGACGTTTTTCACACCGCATGATATCTCATGCATACATGCTCAGAAATGGAGTTGCGCAACAAACCCTGTGCTATGGTGGCCCCAGCCGTTCTCGATAGTGGGCCCGACAGGGGCCTGGCGGGACATGGTGGGTCCGAGCTCTTCTCTACGTAAAACCCAAATCGGGTTCGGTGGGACCGGTGGGTCCCAGCCCTTCTCTACGTGGGACCCTCACCTCGTTTGGGTTCTGCGATGCTAATTAGGGTGAGGGGAGAGCCTCGTGATTATCATTTTCACTTCACTTTAGCATTGTAGTCCAGGTGTGTGTCCAGTCGGTGTGTGCAATCATTGAGGGGGAGCCGAGCACAACCAACGTCGACCGTTAGGTAAGTTTTCATTGAGGTTTTCGGTCTTGTTTGCAGGCCCTGATTCCGGACACAAAGCCAGCTTCATGATAGGCTGCCCTGAATGTAGTGCTCTTTCTATATCTTTCCAATGATTTATCATATCCTACTGAAGTGAACACACACTATCCCACCCCCCACACCAGCCCACCCCACCACCCTACCCTATCCCTCCCCACCATCCCACCCCATCCCTCGCCCCAGCCCACCGTCCTCACTCCCACTCCTTCCCCCCCCCATCCCACCCCACCCAATCCCAGCCCACCACCCTAACTCATCCCCACCCCACACCGCCCCACCCCAGACCAGCCTACCTGTGTCTATAGTATGAGGGAGTCTTGTATAAAACTCTTTATAAAGAGAAAGAAATATATAGAGAAAATCGTGTTCAATAAGCTATGTATTCTCACATCATGAGGTAGTACCACCATGTCATCCAAATTATAACGCTCGGTTCACATGTAGAACGCTTTGTGTTTAAGCATAGGATCCTATTGTATGTACTTTACAAATCATACCTTATGCTTCCTGAAATGTAAGGGCATCTCCGAAGGCATGAGTAGTTTTGTGAAGCTTGACCGTTTTTTGGACTAAAATGCGTGAAATGAGATTTAGCTAGGGGTTTTATATTGTATATTTAAATCCCTAGCTAAATAAACCCTAAAGGTATGGGGCGCATATACATATATATATATATATATATATATATACCCTGGGGCTCCTTGACCCCAATAGTTTAGGACATGGCCATTGAACTGTGTTCTTTGGGCTTTGGGCTGTGGCTTAGAATTCTTGGGCGCGGGGTGAAAGTCTGCTGTGTGTCGACCGATGATTGGCTCGGAATCGCCCCGAAGGACATTGATGCAAGCAATCGAAGGCAAGATGGAATAGATAATCGTTTCAATATATCGCGATCCCTTATATCTTATACTTAGAACCCACAAACCCTGAACCGTAAGCCCTAAACTGCCCTAAACTCTACTTAGAACCCAAAGCACTAAACCCTATAAACCCCAAACCCTGAACCCTAAACCCTATATATGGATTTAAATTTAAGAAGGCCTCCACGACTTTAAAGCTTGTACGTGTACCACATGTTTGTTGGAGCCGCCTTGCCTGCCCGCTGCGGTCTGTCTGGATGCAGCGAGCTAACAGACTGAGCTTTGGTCTCAGCTGCAGTATGCGGACCTTGTTTAATGAGTTGTGCCGCTGATACAGCTGCTTAGGCCTTCTGGGGCAGATATCGTCCAGCAGTGCCAGCAGTGCCAGCAGTGCCCACGACTTGTTTGTATCAGTTGCCTGCAGCTGTGATGTCTAGAAGCAATTCCCGCAGATTTTTGTGTTTCAAGTGCCGGCTTCTTGAAGAAGCTTTTGAAACTTGGAGCAATACCAGGAGCCTGGAGAAAGCATGGTGAGTGAGCCTAGGCATCTGCTTATAACACATATCTATATATGTATGCTGGCAGGATTATTGCTGGCAAGGGCAAGATGGAGTCGTTTCTGGTCGAGGACATGTACAGCCGCTACTTAGAAGAGAATGAGTTGATTGAGCTCGTGCGAAAGCCCTCGAATCAGGTCGGCTATTTTACTTTGTATTTATTCTCATTTCGACTCTGTTGTAGCCCATTGTCCGCAGGTCAAAGATTTGTTCATTGTGTCCCCGGCCGGCCTGCAATCTGCAGACTCCGTCTCTTGCATCAAATATGAAAATCGAACGAGATTACTATTATAGAGTTTCTTCTCGCAGCCAGGTCATCGCCAACTTTGCTTTCTTGCTCCAAGTTTACGGTACCTTCGGCGACAACCTGCCCAGCCACAGCTTGCAAAAGGAGTGGATTGACCTATATAATTAAAACTGTACCCAGATCTCGAATTTCCCCAGGAGATCCTCAGCAAGTTGGCCCGACGCTATGCATTCTTCCCAAGCGAGACGAAGAAAAAGATCATTGATGTGTCTCGCCGATATATTGCTACCTTCTAGTGCTACTAGCACTAACATTTCTGGCAGGCATGGGCGGGACAACAAGCAGGAACTGCTCGAGCCCTGCAGAGTTATGGATGCCGGCTTTGCAACCGGGCTGCTGGCTCCAAGAGCAAGGAGCTGGCAGCCCTCAAATTTGTGTTGAGAAAATTTCGAAGCTTGGCTTAATCTGTCCATATATCGAAGTCGCAAGCTTAAGGCAAACCAACCCCAGCTTAGTCCCTTTTTCTCTTCCCAGGTGACGAGCTCGATGATCGAGCTGCTGAGCCCGACGAGACCGAGTCCAATGGTGACACCAAGGAACATCCATGTAGTTTTAGGGTTTAGGGTTTAGGGGTTATTATAAAACAGTAATTTATTCAAGGTTTAACTTCTGTGGGTATTCCTGCTTATTAGGGCTTGGAGTAAGGGATTCGGATGTGTGCTTCAAGGCTAGAATCCAGACTTATGGGTGTTGAGGCTTGGAGCTTCGAATAAGGGATTTCTACTAAACTCTAAACACTAACCCTGAACCCTAAACCCTAATTTGTTGTTCAAGTTTTGAATTGAGGGCTTTGGATTTCTGGGTGTTGGGGGATTCTGGTGTGTGCTTACCCGCAGCAGGAGCCGGAGAAGCCGCACCAGGAGCCGGAGAAGCCGCAGCAGGAGCCGGAGAAGCGACGAATGCTCATGGTGCTCCCCGAGGAACCTGACAAGGCCGATGACGGGTTGGAATTGTAACAGTTCTGGAACTTGACTGGCTGCTTTCGTGGCATCAGGATGCCCAGGCTGCCGGATTGAAGTATCGTGGCGACTACCATGTAGCCGAGAACGGTATGGTTGAACCTGTGCCTACCCCAGCTCCTGTTACTCGCCTCAACATATAACTGCCCGGATCCCACATCCGAAAGTCCGTTCGCAGCTCAGGTGAAGCCTTCCGGGCCGCCGCATTCGCAGGTGCTCCAGGACGACGGCCTCGACACGCAGGCTTTCACGACGGGACTAGAGCAGTTCCACGATCTAGAAGTGCGACGTCAAGCATGCAAGGACAATATTGGTTTCGTGAGCACAGTCGATAGTACAGCTCATGAACTTGTGAGTTAGATGGGTGCCTTCGCGAGGACCGAAGACCTCTTCTTATCTCTCCTGTTGAGATAGATGAAGTTGAGGAAGAAAAGCTGCTTGCAAAGGTGCCGGCTGGCGATGATGATGAGTCATTGCTGGTCGAGGCCCAGCGGAAGGCCAGTCATTTAAACCCTCCACCCTCAACCCGATTAAGCTATATATCTATCTAATTATTAATATATATCTGAGGCCCTTAAACCGCTATATATATATGTATATATATATATATATTATAACCCTAAACCCTAAACCCTAAACCCTAAAACCCTAAACCGTATAGCTCCTTCAAAAGGCAGGTCTTTTGGGCCACAGGTAATTAAAGGATCATGGGACTTATTAAGTGGCGTTAGAACTAA